TTGTCGTTTATCTGAAATTTGGATTTAACCGGGAATCTTATCTTTTTATTTGCTCAGTCTGACCTCCTTCTGTGTGGAGAAACAGCAACCACCCGACAGCTCTCTGCAACAAGAGGAGAAATCCCAAGGGACCCCAAGGTGGCAGTGACCTACTGCTACAGGTCCGCCACCTTTCTGGGTTCTCTGTCCCTGAGGGAAGGCCTTTCCCATCTGCACTCTGCATCCTCTCTTAGAAGCCTGGGTCGGTGGCACGTCACTGGTCTCCGTGTTAGAACTGCCACCTGAGGACATTGGGGTCACCTGAGCTTTCCCGGGTGGCATTTCAGTTTAACAGATATTGACGCAGCGCGTGCTGCTTTGTAAACCAGTATCCCGGGTTGAGTAGTTGAGCGTCCCAAAGGGCAGACCTGACCATGTCTGATGCCAATTTGAGGCCAAGTGTGAAAAGATTCATATAAAAGGCTACAGGATCACAGAGAGGGACCCCTACATCCCCAGAGGAGTGGGAGGTGAGAGAAGAGTTCATGGAGGGCCGGGTGTGGTGGCACACATCCGTAATCCCGGTGCATTGGGAGGCTGAGGCAGGAGGATCACAAATTGGAGGGCAGCCTTAGAATCTTAGCCAGGGCCTAAGCAACTTAGCAAGACCCTGTCTCAGAATAAAAACTAAAAAGGGGTGGGGATGCGGCTCCCAGGAGAGTGCCCTTGGGCTCCATCCCTGGTACCGCCCGGCAACCCCCCCCCCAACAGAGAAGAAAGTCCTGGAGGACAGGGAGAGAACTGCTAGAGAGGGAAGGAAGAGTCTCGTGGACAGAGATGCACGTGAACCATTTCCACGCTCAGAGGATGAAACCTCCTAAGAGACAGAAACAGGGATGTGTGGTCAGAGAGCCGCGATTCCTCCCCAGGAGGGGCGATTCATTTATTTGTTTATTCAGTAGATATTTCTTAAACTCACAAATTAATGCAAAGCTGCAGTTGGGGAAAGAGCCAGGAAGGTCAACTATGGGGCCACAAAGGGCAGTATTGAGGAATGACCTAGTGAGGAGGACTGGGCAAGTCCTTCTCGAGGGAAGAAATGACTGAGTCAAACTCTGAAGGAGGAAGAATATTAATCAGGTGACAAGGGGTGATGCAGGCCTGCGAGGAGGAGAATATAAGGCAGATGGAAGAGCATGTGCAAAGGCCCTGTGGCAGAAAGGAGCAGGGTGCATCCAGCAAACTGAAGGAAAGCCAGCATGCTTGGAGCACTGGGAGGGTGGTGGGATAGTATGCAGGTTGCTGTTAGAGCCATCCAAGGTCTTTTGAGATTGATTAAGAAATTTATCTTAATCTTCAGAGCACCATATGGAGCCAGCCATTCCATGCATTCCGTAGCAGAAGAGTAAGAAAAATTAGCTTTGACTCTGGAAGAATCACTTTGGTTGCAGTAGTGAGAGATTGAAAGGGGACCAAACAGCAGTGAGGAGACCTCTTAGGAGGCCACTGCAGAAATATGGGCAGAAATTGAGGGGAACCTATGTTCTTCATCTCCCCTATAATATAGTATTTTGTGTTCCATTTGCAGAGGTTCCTGGGAGCAGCAACCTTACACCTCCAATCAGCATGCCCACAGAGCACCTGGGAATCGGTCCAGCAAAGCACGAAGAACGCTGTAAGTCATTGTGTGTTTGTGTGAGGGTATGGGGCATGTGGCATCAGAACTGACCACCGTGGGTCCTGAGGGGCTATCTCAGGCCTCAGAAGGGAACGTGGGCCGGCTCACAAGCTGAATGGCCCTTCAGAACCTTCTCTCCCACGCCAGTACCTGAGGAAGAGCCCCCACTGCTCAGACTGGAGTCTACCTGTTGGCCTCCCCCTTGGTTCCTCTGCCGTCAGCTGTACCGACAGCAGGTGGGCAGAACAGCTCCGTCACCCTGGGAGGCTCCAACCCCCAGGGCTCCTCTGCCCCCCTC